TTATTATTATTTTATTTATTTATTTATTTATTTGGTTTAGAGCTGGATGGGGAGCCCTGGATGGTACAGATAGTCAACATGCATGGCTGCTAGCTGAAGGGTTGGCAATTGGAATCCACCTAGGGGCACCTTGACAGAAAGGCTTGGTGATCTACTTCTGAAAAATCAGCCATTGAAATCCCAATGGAACACAGTTCCACTCTGACACACATGGGCTCACCATGAGTCCGAAATCACTCTAAGGCTACTGGTTTTGATTCTAGAGCTGGGCTAGCTCTGCAGAGCTATCCTGTGTTGAGGAATAAAGACCCAGACTTTGTAGTCCAAAATCAGCCATCATTAGCCACAGGGTGCTCCCTGGGAGGCAAGACCTTGAATGTGTTTTCTGAGGCCTAAAGCAATCCTCAGTGAGGAATACCATCAACAGCCAGTGTTCAGCAACAAGGGATGAGTGTGTTGACCCTGAAGAAGGGATCAGCATAGAGCACACTGATATCCACTAATACTATATGCATAAGGAGTCCATGGCAAGCAAAACTATATCATTTAGGTAACATACTTCAAATATGCCTATGAAAATCACACAAACACATAGTCCTACTAACATTTCTTGCCGTCCCATTAGAGGACAATTTTAAGGGCTCTTTCATTTTTAGTTTGAGAGAAAGAACAATGGACTGTGACTACCATGAGCAGACTTGGGGTGAAAATGTTTCTTCATTTAGTTATGTTTTCACTGCATATTCTCTATTTTATTTCACTTTTTTTTTTAAATTTTTCCTTGTTGGGCAGAAGATATACAGAAAACTTCATGGCAATGTCAACACTGGCTTTGACTTTCAGGTGTATGAAGCCAGAAAAGTCTTTGCTGTATCAATTCCATGATTAGGCAGAACTAGAATCATCTTTGGGTTTTTCAACCTTGTCTGCTTTTCAATCATCAAATTATTAAAGTATTAAAGGATGGTGACTGGTTCTTCATGTAAAGTTGATTTTTTTAGTTTCAGGGAGCTCTGGTGACATAGTGCCTAAGGCATATGTCTGCTAACCTGAAGGCTGGCAGTTCAAACCCACCAGCCACTCCTCAGAAGGAAGGTTGGGCAATCTATTTCCATAGAGACACCACCTTGGAAACCCAAATAGGGGTTTCTGTGGGTCAAATTGACTCAATGGCAGTGAGTTTTTGTTGTTGTTGTACGAATATACAGAACTGGAAGGACCAAAGCCAGGGTAACACATTGATGAGTCAAAAGAAGGTATGAATACTGCTTGGGTTAAAAGGGGAGGGACAACCTGGGGACAGTGTACCTCATGTGCCCTGTGGGGTTTCTGAGCAGTCATCAGAGTTAGATTTAATGACATTAGAGACTTGAAATAGATGTGCAAGCATTCCTTTTCTTTTGTCAATCTGGGACACTAAAATTGCTTTATCAGGGTTTATATTCAACTAATTATTGCAGGTTTATTTCCTTTTATGAGCTGTAATTTTTTATTTCCTCAGCATATGCATAGTTTGTCCTTATGTAATAATTTATTGGTGTTTGTTATTTAGCTGTTTCTGGTATGTTCTGTCTAAGGCTCTCTAGCTCTGTGATGAGATTGAGTTCCAATTATTTGTTTATAAGTTTGTTGGACTCTGTAATTATAGATTTATAACCCTCCCCCTATCTTATACATGGTAGCCACTTTATACATGTTAGGGAATTTCCAAATCTAGGGCTCACAAATATATTTAATCCATAATGTACCAAAATGGAACATGAAAATACATTGAAAATTTCAATATTGCATTCCAGCAGCATATATAATCAATCTGTTTAATAAGTAATATAATAATCTGTTTAATAAGTAAATGTTCATTGAATTTTTTCACATAGCAAGAGGTCCAGAGGAAAGCAGTTCAAGACACCTCTAATAGCATGGTTCTCTTAGATTTCCCCTCT